TTCAGCACCCCTTTTGCCACGCCCCCTTATGCGCCTGTCTTGCATGTTGCTTGCCGGCTTATTTTTTGACAGCTATCGATTCGATGGCGCTGCCTCAGTTTCAGCTTCAGATTCAGATTCAACTCCCGATTCCAGGCCCCAATCTTCTGATTTTGATTCTTCACCCGGGAACGGAGACATTTTATCTTACCAGGCCGCAATTCATTTCCTAAAATATGCACAAGGAGTTCAAAAATACATGTGCTTAAAAGGCGACGCACTTAATGCTCTATTCAAGCACATTCCGCTAAGAAATTTTCTGTTCCAAATAGGTCTAGCAAAATGTCAAATTATATTTGATCCCTAAAGGGAATTGGCTACACTTTTCACAGTGATTTCATTACAGCCAGTTTGAATATACTTTTAAAGGCTATAATAACTAAAGAGATTGGCTGTCATGCGGCCAGCCACGCCCACCAACACTGCCCGCCCACAAAAACTGAGTCGATATGTTGCGCGTTATGCGGCATTCATTTCCCACTTTTGCGGCAGTTGAAAACTTTGCCCGAAACTCGTTTGCCACTTTGTGCATGTTTAAGTTTTTAGGCCAAGCACCCTTAACCCGTAGCCCCTAACCCCCATGGTTCTTAACCCTTCACTTCTTTGATCGAAGTGACAATTCAAAGAGCGAATGAAATGCGAAATGCGAAATGCGAAATGCGAAATGCAGCACGAACCACTCAATTAAGAACAGTCAAAGAGGCACCGCTCTTCTGGTTGTCAAATCGAAAAATCCAAATTTGTTTGATCAAGTGATTGAGATTCATCGAGTCTCGAGAGACTTTTCTTGATTGACCGGCAGAATTTACCATGTTTTTCTGTCCATGCATTTAATATTTGCCCACGACGCCCCTCGGGGCAAAATCGTGTCTGCAAACTTTGCATAATAGACGTGCAAATGTTTGCAAAATATTTACCGGCCAAGGAAAATGTGTAAAGAATTATTGGGAACTTTTCTTGGCTGAAAATTGGATAAATATTTGAGGCTGGAAAACATTTTCTCAGCCTAAAGTTTGTTTTCAGTTGAGTTAAGGAATTTAATCGCATTTAACCATACACAAATATTTGCACTTTGGATAATTTTTTTTCTTCGTGCTTATCAAAATATTGTTTAAAGCAATTGTTTAATTTATGTTGAGTTTATGTTGAGTAAGTACTAAATAAATTAAAAATATACTTTTGATACTATTATATTTGGCTAAAACATCATAACTCAACTTATCTTAATCCGATTTTGAAGTGGCATACCTCTAAATGTTTCTGAAGCTATTCTCTAAAAAACTGCATTCAAATTTAGAAATTTTTTTTTTTTAACTTTTTTGTCTTTTTTTTGATGTTGTACAAATTCAAGAATATTAAGAAATGCCCCAAATCCGAAGTTCTAGACTCCATAACTCAACTTATCTTAATCCGATTTTGAAGTGGCATGCCTCTAAATGTTTCTGGAGCTATTCTCTAAAAAACTGCATTCAAATTTAGAATTTTTTTTTTTTAACTTTTTTGTCTTTTTTTTGATGTTGTAGAAATTCAAGAATATTAAGAAATGCCCCAAATCCGAAGTTCTAGACTCCATAACTCAACTTATCTTAATCCGATTTTGAAGTGGCATACCTCTAAATGTTTCTGGAGCTATTCTCTAAAAAACTGCATTCAAATTTAAAAATTTTTTTTTTTTTAATTTTTTTGTCTTTTTTTTGATGTTGTAGAAATTCAAGAATATTAAGAAATGCCCCAAATCCGAAGTTCTAGACTCCATAACTCAACTTATCTTAATCCGATTTTGAAGTGGCATACCTCTAAATGTTTCTGGAGCTATTCTCTAAAAAACTGCATTCAAATTTAGAAATTTTTTTTTTTTTAACTTTTTTGTCTTTTTTTTGATGTTATGATGTAGAAATTCAAAAATATTAAGAAATGCCTCAAATCCGAAGTTCTAGACTCCATAACTCAACTTATCTCAATCCGATTTTGAAGTGGCATACCTCTAAATGTTTCTGGAGCTATTCTCTAAAAAACTGCATTCAAATTTAGAAATTTTTTTTTTTATAATTTTTTTGTAATTTTTTTTATGTTATGATGTTGTAGAAATTCAAGAATATTAAGAAATGCCCCAAATCCGAAGTTCTAGACCCCATAACTCAACTTATCTCAATCCGATTTTGAAGTGGCATACCTCTAAATGTTTCTGGAGCTATTCTCTAAAAAACTGCATTCAAATTTAGAAATTTTTTTTTTATAATTTTTTTGTCATTTTTTTGATGTTATGATGTAGAAATTCAAGAATATTAAGAAATGCCCCAAATCCGAAGTTCTAGACTCCATAACTCAACTTATCTTAATCCGATTTTAAAGTGGCATACCTCTAAATGTTTCTGGAGCTATTCTCTAAAAAACTGCATTCAAATTTAGAAATTTTTTTTTTTATAATTTTTTTGTCATTTTTTTGATGTTATGATGTAGAAATTCAAGAATATTAAGAAATGCCCCAAATCCGAAGTTCTAGACTCCATAACTCAACTTATCTTAATCCGATTTTGAAGTGGCATACCTCTAAATGTTTCTGGAGCTATTCTCTAAAAAACTGCATTCAAATTTAGAAATTTTTTTTTTTATAATTTTTTTGTCATTTTTTTATGTTATGATGTTGTAGAAATTCAAGAATATTAAAAAATGCCCCAAATCCGAAGTTCTAGACTCCATAACTCAACTTATCTTAATCCGATTTTGAAGTGGCATACCTCTAAATGTTTCTGGAGCTATTCTCTAAAAAACTGCATTCAAATTTAGAAATTTTTTTTTTTATAATTTTTTTGTCATTTTTTTGATGTTATGATGTAGAAATTCAAGAATATTAAGAAATGCCCCAAATCCGAAGTTCTAGACTCCATAACTCAACTTATCTTAATCCGATTTTGAAGTGGCATACCTCTAAATGTTTCTGGAGCTATTCTCTAAAAAACTGCATTCAAATTTAGAAATTTTTTTTTTTTATAATTTTTTTGTAATTTTTTTGATGTTATGATGTAGAAATTCAAGAATATTAAGAAATGCCCCAAATCCGAAGTTCTAGACTCCATAACTCAACTTATCTTAATCCGATTTTGAAGTGGCATACCTCTAAATGTTTCTGGAGCTATTCTCTAAAAAACTGCATTCAAATTTAGAAATTTTTTTTTTTATAATTTTTTTGTAATTTTTTTGATGTTATGATGTAGAAATTCAAGAATATTAAGAAATGCCCCAAATCCGAAGTTCTAGACTCCATAACTCAACTTATCTTAATCCGATTTTGAAGTGGCATACCTCTAAATGTTTCTGGAGCTATTCTCTAAAAAACTGCATTCAAATTTAGAAATTTTTTTTTTTATAATTTTTTTGTCATTTTTTTGATGTTATGATGTAGAAATTCAAGAATATTAAGAAATGCCCCAAATCCGAAGTTCTAGACTCCATAACTCAACTTATCTTAATCCGATTTTGAAGTGGCATACCTCTAAATGTTTCTGGAGCTATTCTCTAAAAAACTGCATTCAAATTTAGAAATTTTTTTTTTTATAATTTGTTTGTCATTTTTTTGATGTTATGATGTAGAAATTCAAGAATATTAAGAAATGCCCCAAATCCGAAGTTCTAGACTCCATAACTCAACTTATCTTAATCCGATTTTGAAGTGGCATACCTCTAAATGTTTCTGGAGCTATTCTCTAAAAAACTGCATTCAAATTTAGAAATTTTTTTTTTTATAATTTTTTTGTCATTTTTTTGATGTTATGATGTAGAAATTCAAGAATATTAAGAAATGCCCCAAATCCGAAGTTCTAGACTCCATAACTCAACTTATCTTAATCCGATTTTGAAGTGGCATACCTCTAAATGTTTCTGGAGCTATTCTCTAAAAAACTGCATTCAAATTTAGAAATTTTTTTTTTTATAATTTTTTTGTCATTTTTTTGATGTTATGATGTAGAAATTCAAGAATATTAAGAAATGCCCCAAATCCGAAGTTCTAGACTCCATAACTCAACTTATCTTAATCCGATTTTGAAGTGGCATACCTCTAAATGTTTCTGGAGCTATTCTCTAAAAAACTGCATTCAAATTTAGAAATTTTTTTTTTTATAATTTTTTTGTCATTTTTTTGATGTTATGATGTAGAAATTCAAGAATATTAAGAAATGCCCCAAATCCGAAGTTCTAGACTCCATAACTCAACTTATCTTAATCCGATTTTGAAGTGGCATACCTCTAAATGTTTCTGGAGCTATTCTCTAAAAAACTGCATTCAAATTTTGAATTTTTTTTTTTTATAATTTTTTGTAATTTTTTTTATGTTATGATGTAGAAATTCAAGAATATTAAGAAATGCCCCAAATCCGAAGTTCTAGACCCCATAACTCAACTTATCTTAATCCGATTTTGAAGTGGCATACCTCCAAATGTTTCTGGAGCTATTCTCTAAAAAACTGCATTCAAATTTAGAAATTTTTTTTTTTATAATTTTTTTGTCTTTTTTTTGATGTAGAAATTCAAGAATATTAAGAAATGCCCCAAATCCGAAGTTCTAGACTCCATAACTCAACTTATCTTAATCCGATTTTGAAGTGGCATACCTCTAAATGTTTCTGGAGCTATTCTCTAAAAATCTGCATTCAAATTTAGAAATGTTTTTTTTTAATTTTTTTGATATTTTTTTGATGTTATGATTATAATGTTTTTTTTCATTTCATTATTTGTTTCCCAATTTCTGCCGTCATTCCAGTAAATGTTGAAATTTCTCTTTTGCACTTCCACTATGTAAGTAACGGGTATCTGATAGTCGGGGATCTCGACTATAGCATTCTATCTTGTTCAATTTATTTATCGATAATTTTGCTCTAGAATCAATACATTCGGTAATAAAAGTACCACCAACTGCTATCAGTAAATGCTATCGAGCTTTTTTATGAGTGCAGATATTTTGGCGTTTGTTTAGTTAGTCAGCCCCATGAGCTGGGCATTCGGTTAGTTCAGTTACCAGCGATAAGGCGTCACAGTTGGACGGGTTTTCTACCGGAGACATCATTTTGGCAACCACACTTCACCACCATGCCACCACCACCCCACGATCATTGCGGAGGACCACCTCATCGTCGTGGACCCGTGATTAAGGTCCAGATCGCACCCACATGGCCACGCCGCCATCACCGTCCTCCACCCCAAGTTGTGGTGGTGCAGCAGCAAGCTCCGCCACCGCCACCAGTTATGGTGGTGCAACAGGCTCCACCACCACCGTACTACCAAAATCCACCACCACCGCCCGCCAGCAACCACTACCACAATCCACAGTATTGAGAAGGAACTTTGATCTGCCAACTCCTTTACAATGAATTTATATTACGTAACCTTACTTACCACATATGTGTCCTCCATAAAGTAAAACACAATAAACAAAGATTAGCGAATTAATTTGTTTTGTAGATGTAATCATTCCTTCACACACATTCCTTATTTCTATTATCAAAATCTCAAACACTGTTTTTGCACCTCTTTATCTGGAACACCTGGTTAATTTAAACGGCAACCACTTGTTGATTTGTTGATGTCTAGCAGAGCTAAAATCTATGCTCTCATTTTTATTATTGTTGCAACTTCCGTTTTTTCTTACCGTTTTCTCTTATCTAAGAAAAATTACACCGCTAGCTATAGATAAGCCGGAATCAGTTAATATAGTAAACAAAATGCGAGGGAATGGCGAAACCCGATCACCTGTAATTGCAGAGCTGTCCGGTGGCCGTTATCAGTCCTTGGCGGATGACTAAGCCACCTTATCTCTGCCTCTAACCACTGGAATAATTCCCTCAAACCCTGATTGATGGAGCTTCGTAGTTCCAGTTTGTTTCGAGCGAGACGTGTTTTGTGTTGGCCTTTCCAGTACTCAACGCGTTGCTGGTTGGTGAAGTTGGCCCGGTTGACTGGTTGATTGTTCGGCTAGTTAATCAACTATGCAGTACTATGAAGATCCATGTGGCTGTCCTCCTCGCCATCACCATGGTCGTCCAAATATCGAAATTGATGTGGTTCCCGGTTGGAGTGGCGGCTACTATCCGCCGCCGCCTCCGCCTCGGCCCACCGAGGTTGTCTACATGACCCCGGCGGCCACCTATGTGCCCGGCGCCCAGGTGATGATGCCGCAGCCGTACGGTGGCGTCACGATGGCCACCAATGGATACTATCCACAGCAGCAGCAGGCCTACGAGTACCAGTACCAGTATCAGCAGCCCTACAACAATCCACCGTATCCGCAGTGGTGAACGAGTTCGGACTGGGAAACTAACCATCACTTCAATGTTCCACGACCACTTACAAATAAAATGTACTATCGATAGAGTGTAAGGAGCGATAGATAGCAGGAAAAGCAAAACAGATATCTCTTTGTCTTAATCTTAAGTTGAATTGGCAACGCAGAGTGGTGCAATTGTGTTGATAATGGGTTCCTAGGCAATAAGTGCCATTGAGGTTACAAATTTGAAAGCAACGGAAGGTGCGAAAAGGAACTTTCATGGTTTCTATCAACCATGTAAATATCTAACAAAATTACTAAGTGTGCTGCTAGACATTGACATCAAATAAATAAAGTCGTTTGCACTCCAACGAAAATACTCACGTGGTTTACTTTAATAAGCTCTACAAGTCATTTTCGATATCTGCATTAATGTGGAAACAATCTGCTATGAATCATAGATCAGAACATTAGAATTATGTCCTTTCCCTTGAATAGTAAGTGGTGATTCATGGAAACCTTGAACTCTCTTGACGAAATTCAATTCGCAATTTGGTTTTTATCAAATCGCGTTTATCAATTTTATTTTTATCGAAAAACACATTAATTCCACCTGACAAGATAACTGACTAAGCTACTGTGCGAAACGCACATAACAAAATTAGAAAACAAAATTCCCCCATTAGCGATAAAAATTGACTTAAATAGTTAGCCATTTGAAGAAGCAAGTTCAGTTCGACAAAGCAGCCAAAGGCATTCACTACACCACCGAGGATACAATACTTGGATAGTTTCTGAAGAACATGCCGTACTACGAGGAGGAACGTCGCCATCACCATCACCATCACCATGGAAGGCCCATTGTGGAGGTGGACATTGTCCCGCCAAGGATTCCTCGGCCAGTGATTGAGATCGGAGTGGGCGGCCGCTATCCACCACCACCGCCCAGGGTGGAGGTCATCACACCAGCTGCCGTCTACCAGCCCCCACCACCACGACCCATTATCGAGGTGGATGTGGTGCCACCAAGAGCCCCCTTCATCGAGTTCAACATTGGCGGTCGGCGTCCTCCTCCCAGGGAAGAGGTCATCATTGTCCAGCAGCCCCCGCCGCCCAGGTGGTAGGCGTGGTCGCATTGTGACCCTCCAAAAGAGTGAACAACGTTTAAAATATTTATTAAACTTCCTGTATTTCATGAGCAAGCACTGGAAATACACTAGAATACACGCAAATAGAAACTATAAACTAACTTTTTACAAAAAATAGGCCCTTGTATAATAAAAATAAAAAATAAAAAACAGTTCACCCTTTTATGTTTGAATTTCGTTTTGCTTGAGTTCGTAACTACAAAAATTATTTATTATAATGGCAAAAAGTCTACCGAAACGTTCACGCAAATATTTCTTCATATAAGCTGACGTTTTAATTCGGCTCAATCTTATTTCCAATGTAATTGTAAATCCGCTCGAAATATTTGCTTAAATAACTTAAATGCACTTTACCTTAATTGAAATATACTTGATTGGTTTTCAATGTCGGTTCTTGCTGTGACACATTTTCATATTGTGAATATATGTATACGTATATGCCAGCATTTATTTGCAATGTTAATGGTACAAATATGAAAATTGAAGTGCAGGCCAGTGCCATAAACAATGGTCATGCTTCCTTTTTCTCCCTCTATTTTCTGTATGGGTAATTGCTTTCGTCGTTTTTTATTATTCGTATATTATTTGATTTTGGTTGCTATCTGACTGGTGCGAAATGATTGATGTCCTTTGGTCGAAGCCAGCTTATCAATTATTGTAAAACTAGTGTTGTCAGTACATAAACATATTTTTAACTTTATTAAATGAAAACGGGACAATGCTAACGATCCAGTTCGCTATCTTGATAGTTTTCTCGACTTAAGTGGCTATTGTGTAATGAAACGTTCTAAAAAATATGAAACATTCTGCGGAATTCTTAGTAAAAATTAAACCATGTTTGCATATTGAAAATTATAGCATTCTTGCGGCATTTCAATTATAATTATATAACTAATTTGGCATATTTTAAATATATATAATATATTCCGGATGTTTGTGGGAAACTATCTTACATTACATTTTATTTTTTTTAAATCTTCTCTGATAATAATTTATTCAGAGAAAACTACTTTAAAATAGGTCTTTGATTCGTCACTCAATAATGAATGGTTAATGATGTTTAATTAAATATCTCTAGAATATATGAGTCACAGCTAAATAAAGGGATCGAGGGACTTCCCTGACAAAAAGATAGGGAGTCTTCTTATCACAATCAAAATTCCTCTATATAAATAAGGCGAAGACCTGGTCAAATGCATACTTAAAGGCAGTTGAGCCTGAACATTGACTAACTGCAATATCAACATCCATTTATTTTGCATAAATATATACTGAGTCATAATAAATGCACTAAATGAATGCTTGGGCTAAATGAATCACAACAGCAGCAGAAGAATTAAACTCGTAGTTAATCCATCATTGTAGTGATAACAATGTCCCCAATTGCTCCTATCGCAGTTGAAATGATCGTATATAAGGGGTATAAGTTATGGTAAAAGCCAAATTAGAGGGCAGTCGAGCTGAGAAAACTTAAAGGACAGCCTAGGCAAGACGGGAAGGAATCATGTCTGACATCAATATCAACCTCCAGTGCGCCGAGTGCAACCATCGCCGAGGAGTCTTGTACTACGCGAATCCCCTGGCTTGGGGTCGTCCTTGTCGCCAGTGCCGCAGGATGATGTCCAGAAATGTCGTGGTGGTGCCCACTCAGGTGGGAGTACCAGTTGCCACCAATAACATCAGCACCACAACTACTTTTGTGCCAGTTTCTGTGTCCACCCGCTAACTGGGAAAAAAAACTTTTTAAAATTAAATAAAACTTCTGAGCAAAACGAAACAATTTATACCCACTCTTACCTTTGAAGAATGGCGCTTTCATAGCCTTAGATTTACATAATTTGTCCTTTTCGATCACATTTGAGTAAGACTTAGAGTAGTAGACTTAGATATTGGGAAATGGCTTTTGAATATCATAATATGGGTAACAATTAATTGATTAATCATAACAGTCGTATTACATTTTTTAATATATCAGCTAATATAGCAGTTGCCAAAAATATCTATCCAGCTACACTTATATATTTTCCTTTATGTCTAATCAGCTTGCTTGCGGAACCAAGTGCATCAATCTCAATAGCTTACCCGAATTAGCATATGATTGTGAGCTACCCTGACACTTTTCCAGTTCCCAGTTGCCCAGGGTGACTCACGTTGTAATCCCAATCCGAAGGCAACCCCCAGTTGGGGAGCACCCATGAATCAGCGACCCCAGTGAACTGAACAATGCGATCAGCCAGCCCTGGAGGAATTGAAGCACTTAGGGGAGTCAGCAAATTTGATCGATCAATGTGCTGATAAAAAGGCAAAGAGGATTTCCTTATCGCGCTGAATGTCGAGCCCCAAAGCAAATAAAATATATATAGTAGAGACCACTAGGAAAGTGGACAGTTAGCGCTCCAAAGTCATAGTGAGAAGACACCAAGCTAGATAGAATAACGTGGAAAAATGAGTAACGTTAATAATGTTAATATCAACGTTCAGTGCGAATGCTACCATCGTCGGGGCCTCCTCTACTACGCGAATCCTTTGGCTTGGGGTCGTCCTTGCCGCAGATGCCGTCGCATGATGTCCAGAAACAACATTGTGGTGACCGTGCCAGCAGGCCAGGTGGCTTGTCCAGTGCAGACCACAGCCACCACAGTGATGCCTGCCCAGTGTGCAACCCACTGGCAGTCTCAGCAGCAGTCTCAGACAATGTCCGCACTGCCACCCAAGTACGATCAGGCTGTGGCAGCGAACTGAGAAACTCATGGATCTGCAAAGAAATACCTCTTAAAAAACCAAATAAAATTTATGTAAAGAACATTGCAAATTTTCATACCGCCTAAGTGATCAATTTGGATGTTCTAACCATTCATTTATTAGAGCTGTTATATTTGGTAGTACAACGAGCTTTACAAGAACTCGGAAATACAAAAATCGCTTTACAGTGTCACTGGGCGAAAATCTCAGCTGAGACCCAGTTAAATAGAAATTAATTGGCCCGTTGCTGCTGCAAGCCAGCGCTGCCAACTTGTGCAATTAAAACAAATTGTATCTAACAGATACACGGGGCATGTTAAGACCTAACGTAAATGTTGGCCAGGTGTGCCCATGCATTCGTGCAGCTTGTATACCCTAGTTCAAATTGCTTTGAGATACAAATGGATTATGATTCACAAGACCTTAAATATTGAATCAATTTAGATATTGCTGTTCACATCCATGGCTGATTAGTTCGGGTATACTGGCAGGCTACATATATATTGTAAAATATTTCCTGGTCCTTGAACTCCTTCACTGTTTTTTTAAAAAGCCGCTTTTCATTTGGAAGGGTATTCAGGCAAGGGACTTAATAACTCACTCGGTTTGCTGTGTGTGCTTTGTTGGCACCTTAACAAAGGTCTCCACCCAGGTTTAGCAGCATCATACAACTTTCCTGCACATAATAATTCATATTAAACTTGCTCCTCTCATCCCTTTCTACCCAGACGCCTCTGTCTTTTTATATTTCCTCAGCTGGGGTCACTCATTTATTCCCCGACTCACTTATTCATTCATTTCAAAGACAATGGCTGCATTACCTGTATATTACCTGTGCACATTTTGTGGGGCAGTCCGAAAATGAAGGCTAAAAGTTGGCGTCAGTGGCTTTTGTTGAGTTTGAACGCAAATACGTTATTTAACATTATTTTAGTAAATGTCACATACAAGCTGATTAAATTTTGATTGTTCTCTCAAGTGTTATCTTGTATCCAACAAATTCAGTACGGTATAGGTATCTGATGAATTCAGCTTTGCCTTTAATAATGTATACTAGTTCACGGATATTCTGAGTTTTTAAAGTAGGTTAACTCTTTTAAAATCCGCAAGCCCTTTTCCCACAAACTTAATGTTTTCCTTTAAACATTCGCTTCATCAGACGGCGGCGACCTGTTTTCTCCCTTGTTATAAACAAAGAACATATTATGTGCGGGTAACAACAATAGCCGTGGGTGGAAAAGCATTTAGGTGGGGTTGGAAAACAAGTTGGAAAATATATGGAAGCCGCTGCCTCGGAGGTAGTCAAAAAACAAGGTGTTTCCGACAATTTTTGCCTGCCCTAGGCCAACGTCAACGTCATTGTCGACCGTTTAGCGTCTTGGAAAATTCCGAAAACGATTAAGGGGGTGGATTTCAGAGGGTGTTAAGTAGCTGGAGTACTTAACCCCTTATTTTCGTCGTTTTCTTGACGATTGAGAAACCTGCAGTTAGCCCCAAATGATTTCCCCAGCCTTAAACCATTAATTAAACTCAACCCTTGCTTTTTCCCATGCCCATAAACCTTTTTGGTGTTCTCGTTTTGATTTTAGCCTTTGTTATGGTTAGCTTTTGTCTACTCGTTTTCTGATATTTTAGCCTGGAACATTTTAATTGTGTTTCCGGTAATTTACACTCTATTAAAAAATTGACTGCTCCCCGAAGTGGACCTTAACCCTTCACTGCCTGCTCTTGTGCAATGTCAACCCATCAAAAGTATCGTCATTATCATCAAAATTTTGAGCAGCCAGTCCCTAAACATCAATGGCTTTTGTCTGCCTCAGCTACTGTTGCCAAAAATCAAATTACATTAATAACTCGAGTTGGGCTTAAATCAAGCCCACAAAGGTGGCTGCTCTTCCCAAAGTCGCCTTCGATTTACCCCTTTTCACTTAGCCAATCATGATCCCTCTCCCACTCTCGACTCATCAAATCTGCTGGGGAAAATTGTTTCGAAATTTTAAACAAAAGCCAAAGACCAAAAACGGCAGGTGGAGAAAAAGAAGGCGATGGGAAAGCCGCACATTTTCGAACATTTAACTAGCCACGCCCACCAGTTGCCGCCTCCTTGCCACACACAGGCAAACCCTTTTGTTGTGATTGTTCATTGAGGCATTGAGACATCTGAAAAGAAGAAGCTTCAATATGCAGAGCACTGAAAAAAATATCTTAACGTTGAAAAACTCTCAACTGAAACTAACACAACTTGGTAAACAAAATTATTTAGCTGAATTGTAGCTCAAAATCAGATTTTGAATAAAGTATTTGAATATCTTAGACATTATTTTTCTCTGTGTGTGCGAGCAGTAAATCTGGGAAATTAAACGCTGTGGGAGGGAAAAGCGGGGCAAATCCAGGCAAGACGAACACAGAGTGCATTACCCCTTCCTCTACACAGCATGCATGAAATGTCTATTCTAATCCGGAAATTAAATTCCATTTAGAAATTGTCCTATACAAAATGTTTGGTCAGACATGCACCATCCTCCTCAACGAGAGTTGGTCTACATATATGTTCGGGGGATAACTATAGTTGAGCACATGTCTATATGCTTAATTTATGGTGAGCTCATCGGCCAACTGGAGCAGCAGCATGAGCTTCACATTGACCAGAAACTTAACCCAACAAAATAGTTGGAAATTCCCCCAGGAGCAGCATTTACCCCAAATCGAGTGCAAACCAGTAATTGCCTGTGAATTGGTCAGTGCGGTTAATTAGTTGTCCAGAACACTTGGCAGATTTAGCTATTATATTTTTATTTAGGTGCTTCGTAGATTTTGTATACATCCTTACTTATGATAAGCAAAAACAGCAAATTGCATAATTGTTAAAATACTACATTATATTTGTATAGTGGCAACTAATATTTATATTTATATACTCCTTAATTTTTCAATGGGTTAAAAGCATGTGCATCAGCAGTGCAAGGTTAAGTCACGTGTCAGTATACAATTAAAATCTTGACTAAGAGATAGAACCCCAAAAATCACCGGATGTAACCCGCAAGGTGAATGTTTAAAAAATGTATTTATAGCTAAGCCAAACAGCTTTGTCAGTCGCTTACGTATTCAGCCAACAGTTTGAGATGTGGTACTCACTTCTGGATTTAAATATCCCCTTTTCCTGCGACTGACACATAAAATGTGTCAACTAATCAAAGGCACCAAATGCTGAAAGTACCTGAGGCAGGCAAACAATCAAAATATCAAACTGTCGGCCATTTGAAGTAAAGTAATAGAGGGATTGCATCCTAATGCGTGAAAGCCATTTGCTTTATTTGCTTTTTGTACACTGAAAAGCCAAACAATAATAGCATTAATTTGCACTGAAGAAATTCGAAGTTGTTTAGTTTCAATTTCAAGCTGGTCACCACAACAAAATGCTTTATTATTTACTGAATATATTCTGATTTATACTTGGTAAATTTTTTTTTCTGTGCACATTGCGTATGTGCAATAAAATTCTTTATCATTCTTTATTTGTTACTCCTGTTTTTTAGAAAGTTCGCGCGAAAATGGGCAAATGGCAACGGCAAATGTTTATGGCTTGTTATTTTGGCATAAAAGCATTGCTGCCACGCCCCCTATTTTTTGTCATATGACGTGACCGCCCCCCACACACGCGCCACAAAAATTATCATTCAAAATAAAAGGCAGGCGCAGAACAATGAAATTGTCAAAAAATGTAAAACGAGACACGCATCAAAGAGGCGCGTTTGGAGGCTCCAAATTGTTTTGCCAAACAAATAAATTTATGTTGGCAATTTGGAAATGAGCGTGGGGTTTTCCCAGATAAATAGAGCGCCACTTGAGATGCTCATTCAGAGCTAATAAAAATTACGCAGCAATTGCAGATGCAAAGGGGGCAAATAAAAGATAAAAAATAAAATAAAATAAAAGGCGGCAGCAGCAAAAGTTCGAAAGTGGAAGTGTCGACACTTGCAAGTGTCTCCTTGGCGTTCCTTTCTTCGCCCTTAACCCTTGTGCGCCGGGACACGTACCATCTAGGATCGCTGAGGTCTCTATTGAGACTGGCTATTGCCAGTTCTGCCCGTGCCCCCTGCCCCCAAAGGGGAAAAGAGGGGGGCAGGGGGTCAGAAGGAAGCGTGACGCAAATGGCAAATGAAAAGCAAATGAAAACCAGAGCGAAAACTGCTCGAATATAATAAGAAATGTAATCAGAGCGAAGGGATTGTAAACGGGGCAAGGGTCATTTCAACACTTGAAGTAATTGTATGAACTACACATTTTAAAAGTTAGCGCAACCTATGCACTAAGAAATATTTAAGCAACTGCGAAAAATATATACGTGTAGAAACTGAAATATTAAGCTATACCTTTTTCGCACTCCATCATGCCAAAAAGACCAAAAATCAATGAATATGGAGTTTGTACTCCTAATTAGTTGTATGAGCAATTTTTTTGCCTGCAGTGCAGGAAACTAAGTCCCAAAGATTTCGTGAGGTTAGCGCCATTGACCGGAAATGTAAAATGCACTTAGCACACATTTCCAGCTTCCCCCAACCCAAAAAACCCGAATCCCCGCATTCCCACACAGAAAATATCGCTATCAATAAATTCGCACGTAGCCGAGAAAAGCGGGCAGCGAGTTTTCCAGGGGGCGTGGATTTTCCGAGGTGGCAGGGGCATTCTGGTGCGCTGGATAATTGCGAAAAGTCAGTGCCAGAGTCAGCTGTAATTCCTTTTCTTTGGGCCACCGGTCGGGATTTTGTTCGTGGCACTAGCAATTTGAGCTTTTTGAAACAAACACGCGTCGAAGCAACTAAAAATGTTGAAACGAATCCCGCACACACTTGATGGTGCTGGAAAAGTGAAAGGGGGAGGGCGAGGGGAATCGGGAAATCGGGAAATGGAAAGAAAAGCTGCTGTGGTGACTGCTTTTAGCGAAAATTGCTTCATTAGAACTGCGGCAAAGGATTGAGTTGCACTTTTTGCACCGAACTGCAAGGGCCAGGCAACAAAGATTCTACATTTAATCAGGTTTCCGATGAAACCATCTGGTTATCCTTTAATTGGATTTTTATTAAACGAATCTATGTTTCATCACTTGCTGCTGCACGTTATAAACTCTTATGAATGGAGAGCACATAAACTATTTTTGGAGGAACTAATACCTCCGTCCAGGGTATTTCCGAACTTTGGAACTCGGCAGAACTTGTGCATTGCTTTTCATTTCAGCCATGGCCTAATGAAATTAAAGGTGGAGCACTTTTAGACTAATTGCTTTAAATGCGTGTGGCCAAACAAGAAAAGCGATTTCTATTTCAATGGAGATTTCCGTGTTGGCCGTGCTGATTGTGTTGCTTTTATTGGGGCCTCTGAAGCTCGTTTGCATTCATAAATCAAAAGAGCATGTGTCTATCATGGTGCCGCCCCCAACCCCCCTTGGCCCCACACTTTTCTCCCCAAAAAAGCAAACAATAGAAGACCGTAGAGATTATATAGAAATGGCCGCACAATAAATAGGCGAAAATTGTGAAAGTAAAGCAACAAGAGAGGCGGCCAGCAAATGGAGCATAAATTACACATGGCCCATAGAAAAATGATACGCCGCGAACATAACGCAGATGCCTGGAATTTTTCGATGCCAAAAATTTAGCTAAGGCATTTTACACTGCCAAAAAGTCTTGTTTCTCGTTATTTGAACATTTTATTAGTAATAAACAGGGCACAAGTATTCTGTCGACCTGATACCTTAGAACTATAAAACTTTTATGAACAGGAACGCGTTTATTGCATGTGATGCTGGGCCTTTTTTTCGAGTGTACTCATCATTTATAAAATCCCTGGCTGGGGCGATTGCTGTGCTGCTTTTGGCATTTATGGTCATCAGCGTTTTCGGTCGGAAAAATGAAGTTAGCCTCGCGCTGTCTCATATCCGTTTCCAGTGCCCAGCAAACTAATCGCGTTACAATGAAAATTGATGATGCCTTGCTAAAATAAAAATAGCAGCGAAAACCTAAACCCAAATGCGAAATGCGAGAAGTACGGGCCAAAAGCGTTAGTTGAGTTGGCCAATAACTATGCAACATATTCGAGGACCGCAAAAGTGGCCGAGCAATGTCATTGACTTCGTTGCCGTTGCAGCCACTTAAATTCAATTGACTCGATCCCCCAGCAGCAACAACAAATGTTTTGGCAAATATTGTCAACCGAGTTGAGTGGCTTAAAGGGGGTGGCAGTGGGCGAAGTGGGCGGAGGAAGTGGACCAGTCAAATATGGGCGGGGTCAGTGCAAAGTTAACAAAGTTTTCGCAACGAACCAAACCAGAAAACCAAACAACAACGACGACAGCAGCTGTAGAGTTGTACACTGAAAAAATATAGCTAAAGCTCTTATTTAAATACAACAATGCAGATGTGTGCCTACACTTAAAAATGTTTTTGAGAATTCTATTCAATAATAAAACGATTCGATATTAGGAAATCAACAGATGTTTTGGAAAAGTAAACATATTTTATATTTCACATTCACTAAAGTTGTACATTTGTTTTTATTCATTGATTTGATTTAAAGAATTAAAACAAAAGGGTGCGCAATTTTTTCCAGTGTATTTCCGTTTCGTGTCCATCGCGTTGGCTACTTAACTGTGCAGTCGACCAGGCCCAAATGTGTGGGCCATAAAAATGCAACGAGGCTCGCGAATTTTCTGGGCCTTCCGCCTGCCTGCAAACAACAATTGGGCCCAAAATTTGGAATGCATTTGATTGAATTGAAAAGCTAAACAGGCAAATTGAACGAGGCGAATGGAAATGAGAATAAAATGCACTACAAACTTGGGAACAACTTTTAAGGGTATTTATATCTGATGCGAATATTTAAATATTTACTCACTCACATTTAATCACAAAAACTACCAACATATTCAATTAGGCAAACCAGATACTTAAATAAATATAAAAAAATAAAAAATAGGATTTGAATTTCTATTAAAATCAGTTTCGATTTCATGAACATGTGTGAGTAAGCCTGCCTGTGTGCGTTTAGTCGTTTTGTTTTTGGCGGTTACATGATGACGCTTTTACATGGCTAAAAAGCATTATGGCATGCAAAGTCAATTAGGGTACAGCGACTACCGTTGCCAGGGCAATGATCCATGCAGCCCCTGCACAACCCCCTTTGCTGCCCCTTTTCCACGCCTCTGGGCAGCCAAATTGCGGGGCGTCTGGGGGGGGGCTTATAGGTCGATTCCCTGTAAGTGAATCCAATCCATATTTGTTGGAAATTGCGTTTGGCTTTGGCAATTCGCTCCACCTAAATGCCTTATTCCCCAGAACACACGCACTTGATGAGCCCAATTTCGGTTGCACTCGAAACAAAGGGTTTCATTTTAAAGTGCAACACTAATTTTAATAATTACCATTAGCTAGGGCAGCTAGACAACTGAAGTTTAAAATAAATTCTGGAAGCTGTAATAAAGTGTTGGCTCTGAGCTTGTGAGTAAAGAAAAGGATTAAGTTGTATTATTAATTTTAAAACATAACTCAATGGTTTGCTACGTTTTCGGGCAGTGCAGCCAAGCAAAGGGTTTTTGTTTGTCAATTTGGCTGAGTTTAGGAACGTGCTTGGCAAACGATTGAACGATGTCTCCACGGTGATCCCTTCGGCTTTCAATCCTTTACCTTCGCTCCCAAAAATCCATTGACGGAGCCCCAAGAAGCCGAAACATAAGTTTATTTCTAAACGGATTTCTCGTTGCCTCGAGGCTTCAAAAACCTCTCCTTGGGGCAAAGCCAAAGAAAATATTAAGAGCACATTACACCTCCAACGACGGATACGCTGGCATTTATCGTAAACTTCAACTACCACAGCGGCATGTCAAGGATGTCCCGAATTCCCCGGGCATTTAAACCAACATGACACCTCACAGATTTTGTGCAAAGCGAAAGGGGAAATGCTACTGTGGGTGTATGGCTTAAATAATACCCAAGGACCATATCAATATCGGCCTAATGGCAACGACAATAATGGACATAAAAACCAATGACAACTCGCAGCGAAAAGACGAACAAAAATGCCAGACAGACTACAATGCGAAATGGTAATTGCGAAATGCGAAATGCTAATCCAATTGAGTGGCAGACTGTAATAATCATAAACAGATATTAGTTATTTACGGTCCTCACCCGAGTATTAATCCCGTCCTGCGCCCGCAAATTTCGTAATTGCCTCAATGGTCCATGACCGAGTTTCTGGCCAAGATTTTGGGCCTCACCTAATTGCAGTAACCGCTTGGCCGGATATTCTCTTAATGGCTCGCAACGAGTTCAAAGCCGACTTGGCCCAATAGTTTTTCATTAGTCCCGTGGCGAAAGTATAAGCCCTTTGATGGCCCTCTTTTAAGTCTAATTAACTGCTAATAGGCAATGAATCATTATTACTCAAATTCGGAGGCGGAACGGCTGACGAGCGACTCAAATGGACTGGGAATCCTTTGAAAGTGTCGTGTGCTGACCGCTGAAGGACATGCGAGTAAATCCTTAAGTAGGGCTAAAGGGTTAAGGGCAGTGCGAACTGGAAATACTCTTCTCTTCCGGAAAACTAATAATGTAACTGGAAATTCTGTAACTAAAACAGTCTATTCACAGAGGACATATTCATTATTGTGGCTTCTGCGACCAGGCAGAACAATCTTTTAAGCCATCGCCATCTGGCTAAAAACGTTGATTACGGGAGATTATATTATTAAGGAATATAAAAGAAGTAAGAAAACCCGTGCTAATTACTTCACAGCTGAAAAAGTGTGTCTAATTCCAATTAAGATGTGAGTAGACATAAATCTTTCTCATAATCGTGCGTACGCCAGCGTAATAAGCCCCACCTGCATAAAGATAAATCCCTCCCAGAATCTTGAGATAAAAACCATGATAAAATTGGCATTTATTTCAGGGGGCCCAGTCGATTCGCAGATCAAGTAGCACCATGTTACGTTTAGCAATATTTTGCTGTCTCCTAGTCTCTAGTACTTCTGCCAAAATAAATGAAACGGAAATTTGTGATGATATTGCAGCGATAAAAGCGCAAGTTTCTAATGTTTTGGCGGACTTGGAAGCCAAGTTTACGTTTTGTGAAATCGCCTATCCCTCGAGTTGTTCAGCTGACTCAACCAATAGCAGCGAGATACTAATTCGCGTACCCGAGTACAGTGTAAAGCCCTTTGAAGTGGCCTGCGATCAGCAGAATGTCGGCGGTGGCTGGACCATAATCCTGCGGAGAACCGATGGCAGCGAGGACTTTTACCGCGGATGGGCTGACTACAAGGCAGGATTTGGCCAACTCAGCAATGAGTTCTTTTTGGGACTGGACAAAATTAATGCGCTCACCAATGCGAAGACACAGGAACTGTTGGTTATGCTGCAAGATTTCAGCGGTAATGAGGTCTACGAGACGTTTGATAACTTTAGGATCGGCAATGAGCACAGCAACTACACCCTCGAATCCATCGGAACGGCCAGAGGAAATGCCGGAGATTCCCTCGCCTACCACGTGGGCAAACCATTTGGCACCAAGGATCGGTATTACGGCGATCCAAAGCACAATTGCTGTGATGTGTGACGGTGCTTGGTGGTACAGCACTTGTTATAAGAGGTATGCATATTATTGATTGTGCTTTTAAAATGCTATTTAACACTATTTTAGCAACCTGTGTGGGTTATACGCAAATGAGCCAAATGAGGGAAGATTACACTGGCTAACTTTGCAAAAAGACATAAAACGTGCCGAAATGATGATCAGACCGAAGACCACATCTTCAAATCGCCCTTAAAAGTGATTGTTAGCTACATACAAAAAATTTTAAATATTGTTTGCAAGGAAACGATAATGTTAAATCTGAAGTAAATGTTAAATTTATAATTTTTGTTGCTCAATTTTTATTAATTTGTTTCAATGCTTTTTTCATTAGCAAATAAGTTTTGTGTATATACTACAGTTTATGCACTAGTTAGTAGCTGAACTTTTTTCTTGGCAGCACAACTTTCTAAAAGACTTCAGTCCTATTTATATCCAACAAGTTTTCAATGAGTGCGTCCAATCCGTTCACCAATTCAATATGCCGGCCCAAGCCATTTAACCCGAAAAGCGTATCATAATTCATAAATAAAGTGTGACTAATGCCAATGAAAGAGGACCCAGGGCAGAACTTCAACTCCAGCGAGTGTAACTGCAATCCATTAAGCAATAAAATTCATTCATTTATTATTTATTATGATTACAGCCCCATTGTTCTTCCTTATTTTTTCACCCACTCCATGGATTTTCCTGCCTTTCCTGCTTTTGTGGGTGGACTTTAAGTGGTAATTACAGGGCGCCACGCCCACACATGAAATGGAAATGGAAATCGTAAACATAAAGCTAAGAGGCGGCTGGCAAATGAGCCAGATCCGAAAGGAGTGTATATAGAAGGGGGCGGCCGTTCAGGGGGCGGGGCCGGTCAGGCTAAGCAGATCATAAGCGCAAAGTGCTCTCAATGGGCGGAGAGGGGAAGAGGAAGAGGCAAAGGAAGAGGGTTCGTCCTGCGTAACAAATGCAATAAATGCGAAAAAGGACTTGCCAACAAATGGCGACAAGAAAATCAAGGACTCGCACAGAGATTCGGAAGTTTCAACTTCGGAATACTCATTATTTTATCATCATATTTATCTGATCACAGACAAAACGGTTATGTGTTTATAAAAAATTACGAGTATTTACATATACTTTCAATATGTAGAAATAATTGCGAATTAAATTTCTGTTCTTATATAAAGAACCAGTAAACAGTGTGTCCTTGCGACCGCAGGATTAATGGGTATCCGTAACTTTTTCTTGCATTGGGCCACAAAGAACTTTGCAAGGCATAATAATAATTCGTAAATTGATTGTGTTTAGTGAAGTTTGAATAAATTCACCGAACGAATGGGAGGAAAAGCAGCAGACGGATCGGCAGGATAATCCACTAAAATTTACAGCAAACGGAAACAGCAACAGGAAAAGTCAAGCAGCCCAGCCATCTTCTAACAAATAAAAATAAATTTCTTACTCAGTGTGGGAACCAAAAAAGCAAAAAATAGGAAGAAAAAATCCAAAGGCGAGCATATGTGCGTTGATGAGTTAGTGGGGAGTATCATCTGTAGAGCGAAATAAAAATGGAGGGCAAAGCAAAACTTATGTCTGTGACCAGATAAAGCGGGAAAGCTGCCATGAAGTGGAATCGAGCCAGGAGGACGAAGTCTGCGGAAAACCCCTCGATGGTCCTGCCCATCTCTCCACGACAAGGACTATCAAAGTGAAATGCTAAAGCAGCCAAAAATCCACGAAATAATGGCAGACACAACATGGAAACAACTGCGACAACAACGCATGAGACGCCAAAGGATCTGGAGGGAAATCGTCGGGCAGCAGGGAAAAATGGAAAAATGAAAAAGAAAGGACACTGTACAAATTGAAACTGGGCACATAAATTATTTTAATTAAGATATTGAATACATTTTGAGGCGTTGGAACTGTATCTTATATCTATAGTAAATTTTGTTTGATTTGATAAAGTTTGAATTCTTTTTTTCTAGGTATTGTCGGTCAGAAGAAACCTATTCTCGCTGTGTAAAAAAAACAAGGAGGGACAGATTTTTGCTGGAGTTGGACACCATGCAAGTGATAGTGAAAATCCTAGCTGGAAGCCACGGCGTCATTGTCTTGCCCACCAATGCCATTTGGTGTCATTTGGCATCATCATCAATATGGCTAAAAGGACAATGCGTTAAATGCCAAGCTGCAGGCTGTAGATGTGCCACGCCCCCACTTTCCCGACCCGCCCCCGTCGCCATAGGTGACATCTGGGCAATGAGTGCGCATATAGCGCTGTTTTCGGTAAGCTCTCGCAATTGCTTTCTGTTTTTTGGTCTCCGCATGTGGGGGAAAAAAGCGATATAAGGATGGGGGCAAAGATCCCCATTGAGTGTACTGCCGAAAATGCCTATCGCAATTCTTTGTACATATATTTCATTTCCTGCGCTGGAAAATCATTCAAACTGAGATGTGTGCGCCGAAAAGTATGCAAGTCTTCTTAGTTTTTACCCAACGGTTTGTTTCTCCGCTGAGCTACAAAAGCATAGCATACTTTCCAAGGCTTGTGCGAACAAACCGCTGAAAAATATCTTTATTAAGCTTATTTAAGTTAGCAATGGCAAAGGATTTTGTTTTATTATGCATAATTGTTTATTTCAGATGTATGCTATTGTATCAAGGAACTTGTGTCCCAACACAATAAGTCAACTCAGTTTACCTCTCTGGCGTTAGCAAATATCGAGTTGGCTTCAGGTTCTTTATGATTATCCATAGCTCACTGGCCACTCTTAACCCACTCCACACAGCCTTTAACCCCACAGCGTCAGCTCCCCTGCCCCCTTTGGCCAAAGACTATCTATCGACAGTTTGCACAAATGGGGCCATAAATATGCATTGTGTCACATTAGAGTGTGTGCGTGTGTGATCGAGTGTGTGTGTGCGTGTGCGTGCGGGAGTATCTATGTGAGTTGGCAATATGTCACTGGAGGTTAATAGATTTTCCTTTAGCGTGTCAGCGGGGTCAGGGGAAACGCCGGCAGGAAAATGGGCAGAACGGCCAAGGGGGCAAATGCTCCTGGCGGCGGAAAGGGGTAAATGGAGCAACACATTCGGCCAGAAACACGGCTAAGAACGCTGCATTTTCACTTGACAATTTTGAAATATCCCTAGATTTATGGATGCACAAAAAAAATTAAATATACACTTGCTAATTTAAAAAACCAATACCATATCACTACTGTGCCATAAATTACTTATGCTATTTCTAACATTGAATATTTATATATTTATCAACGATTAATTAGCTTTTAAGCTTTAACAAAACTCCCCAGACAAATGACGCGATTACCTTCCATAAATTCTACATCCAATGGATAACAAAACTTGATCAATGGCAAACCGAAAATTAAGTTAGGGGGAAAGAAATGTGATGCTATTTAATTGCCAGACGTTGGAATTTCCAGATTCAACTCCTTCAACAAAGACATTCGAGATTTGGGCATTGCGTGAGTGAAGTTTTTCCCGAGTTTTCCCTGTTTTTCCTGTGCTAGACGCCTTTCACGGGTTTCCCTCCCAGAGGCTGAGCAGTTTTTATTAGAAAAAAAGAGGACGAGGGGCCAGCAGCTAATGGATTCTATTTAACTTCCACTGACTGCTAATGGATTTTTCTTGACCCCAAATGAAAATGCGCATCGAAATGCGATTGAAAAATGCTTATAAAAAATAGAAGGAGGAAGTAACATAGAGAGTATAATGGACACACAAAAAAAAGCGAATGGACCAGCAACAAACGAAGCTAAATGAATTGAAAATGGAAGTGAATTGCAATGGATAATGGGGTTGCAGAATTGACCCACCTGGTTGTAAGCCAAGTCATTCTCAGCCAACTTGATTCGGTCCCTTATTAAAGTTATCTTCGAACTGAACATTTCCAGTTACATTTTGACTGCGAGCTCGAGAAGCGCTAATAATTACAAATATTCCCTAATTTTGATGTGCTCAACGAAAGGAGCTGAATCACCTGAAAGGGCCAGAATTAATGTCCAAAATAAAGTTATGCTCCAACAAGTTTTCTTTATGACTCTGCTGCGGTGTAGGTGGGAAACAATGCAACACTTTTCTGAAAATTCTCCCACCAAAAACGAATTGAAGAAGCGAAGAGTCGACTGAAATAAATCAACTTCCGCTTGGTTGGCCGTTGACTCGAAGAACCAAAAAAATAGTTTAAAGGGAATACTTGCAACTGGTCGTACCGTGGACTTGCAATCTACGGCGGATTTTGACAAATTACAAATAATTTGTATTTTATAATGATACATTTGCATACATGTAAAACTGAATAAGTGTTGTATTGCTTTAAAACTCTGTTAGTTTTCAAGAGCAGTGAAGTGTACCTAGTTCTTTAAACTTTTTAGATTAAATTGTGCCAAGCTACATGGCTAGTCGAGCACACCCATTGGACAAACCGCCAAAAGGGCGTTCGAAACAAAAGTGAGAAGCCAAGAAGGCCTTTCGGCGACCCTCTGACATAACTGCAAGTCAGTCAGTCATCAGTGGCAAAGAACCTGGCCACCTGTGGGCAGCGAGAGAGAGCGCCATACACCACGCGAAAGAGACGGCTAGATGCGGGGTGCATCGGCGTTCCGCTTGAGATGCACTTGCAAACGGAATGCTTTGCATACGAGACAGCCATCTGAAAGACAACAAAACCTGACCTAACCAACGGCAACTTCCGGTTTCTCGAAGCGCGTTGAAAGTCAGTCCATTTCTCTGAATCCGTCTCTTTCTGCTCGGCTATCGCCATCTCTTTCGCCATTGTTGCGCACTTCACACACATACGATAATCATTTCACATTACGGTAAGATAATGATTTCATTATGTATTTTTCATGTTATTAATTATATACTTCATACGCGCCCGCGCGCCGCGTTGGAAACTAGTGGGAAAATAATTATTGGTCTACAAAATTTTCCTCCTTAAGACAATATCATGCTGATAATTGTATGTGCGC